TGTGGGATGCCCTGACACCCAGGGAGGCACCCAGGAGCATGTGCTCATTGAACTGAGGCTGGTCTTGTCCTGGGAAAAGATGCTTCTGGCCCAAGCCCTGGCTTTGCTTTAGGCTCAGTGCATTGAAATTTAGCTCTCGTACCTGTACTGAGGGCTGAAAATTGCATGGGCTGGAATTTGTGTTTGTTCCCTAAAAATCTGTAGAGCTCTCGATGGTTCTGCAGCTGGAACAGCAGCCAGGATACCCAAATACTGGATTTTTCTCTCCATTGAGCTTGACAACATTTGTGAAAAATTCAGAGAGGGCAGGGAGGAGGAGGGAGCCCTGTCTGCCATAAGCTTCCACATGCCGGTTTATATTTTCAATAAAACTTTATAGGGAACCCAGCTGGCCCTGGAGACACAGTTTGAGGAGCAAACAGTGAATTGTCACTTGGCAGAAGCAGTCACGCAGCACGAGCCAGTGGTGCCTCAGCCTGCACGACGGCAGGCTGCCTCTCCCCGACAGGGGAATGCCGAGGCTTCATAGCCAAACCAATACTGGCACTGGCCAAAGCCTGTGCCCCACACTAGACTGAAGGGGGCTCAGCCTGCCGGTGGGAGGGCAGCATTTCAGGAGCAGGATGGGCTCCTGTGAGCAGTGGGAAAGGGGATGACCTCCTGCTCTGTGCTGCTCCTGCTCACCAGCTTCCTGCACCCCTCACTGCTGCTGGTTATGGTACTCCTCCAGCATTGCAAACTGCGTAGGAGCAGAGAAGGTAGCAGGATTTGCCCCTTCTCTGACTTTGTTTCACATTTTCAGGAACATAAATTGCCATGGTTACCAAAGCCTGGGCTCCTCATTAGCAACATTTGCTCTCAATGTCAGATTAAAGAAGTTGTTCCTTCACAGTGCTCGTGGGTGCTGCGGCTGTTCCAGCTCCTTTCACCAGCACAGGCCATCACTTCACCTGCAACCTTCCTCCCAACTGCATGAAGGGAACCCAGCTGCGAGGACTCAGCTGCATTATGGAAAGGTGGCAGGGGGACCCAGGACGCAGGCTGCTTTCCAGAGCCCACTCTGCTGCATTTCCCCCAGACCCCAATTATATCCACCTATATCACATAGGCACCTTCACCCCCTTACCGAGCTGCAAGAACATATCAGCTTTCATTTTCCCTAACGCACGTTATTGGCAGTAATGTCTTTGAAAGTATAAAACGCATCCGCTGTTCGTACCATTGCTTGGTGATGACTACGCAACATCAATGCTACAGCCAACGTGCCTTTTTGACCCTCTCTCTCTCTTTCTCTCCAAAAAGGAGCTATTTAAAGCATCATATTGAAGCATTTCATCTGTCTATAGAGGAACTTCGAATGCTCCTGGTATCTTAGCTTTCATAGCTTGCTGGTGCCAGCTATGAAAAAGCTTATCTGTGTGTTCTCATCTGCGAGGAGGGAATGGCTGCAGGGATCACCCACTCCCTGCCAAGGAGAGGAGAGAGAGCATGCCTGGGAATGCACTGCTCAGCTTGGCAGCCCTGGGATGCTAACAGGGAAGAAATGTCAGCTCATGCCAGAAACTCTGGACCTGACCAAATGTCTTGAATGACATCAGCATGTAAATCGTTACCCTGGTAATGTAATGTCATCAGGCTAATCCCCAATGGCACGTAATCTCCTGTCACTAGGACAACAATGAAAGAAAGTAAACCTGGACCAATACCTCCTCATTTACCCAGACCTACCTAATCCCAGAGAAGAATAACATACATCAGCTCAGTATCTGCTAGTTTTTTATTAAAATCCTCACAAAACTTCTATATTATTTTTATCCTTGCCAATTCAAGCTGCCCTGCTTCAGAGCCAGCAAGGACGTGCTCGCAGGAGATGCTTTGTGAACAAACCTCAGGCTAAATCTTACTCAATCTCACCATCTGATGAATTCTTATGAATAATAAAAACATTTGTTTAAAAATATTAAAAAGCCCAACCTACGTCTGATCCCAAGCATTCTGAGGGCAGAGCAGTCTGAGAACAATTGACTGAACAATTTGCAACAAGTCATTCAAGCGGCTTGTTTGGTGAGCATCTCCTCCTGGCATCCACTGACTCCCTGGTGCTCACGGGGCCCTTCCCATCAGTGCCTGGTGCTGCGTCCATGTGAGCACTTACCCGTATCTCTATCGTCCTGCTATGGCTGAACAGCCTTTTTCTTACCCAGCTGTGGCTTAATAAGCTTCTTCTGTGAGCAGAAATCTGTAAACAGCGGTATCAGTTATTCTGTCTGACCTGCAGGACAAAATTGTTTTCCTGCTTGTGAAGGAAATCTTCAGAGCAGAGCTGGGGATACACAAACACAACCCCACATGGACCATAAATAAATACATGTAAGTGCACACACTCTTTTATTTTGCATGCCTGAAAGCTAGAAATAATGTCTGATGCTCAGAAGAAAGGAAATATTTAGCTAAGAGAAAGAGAGAGAGCTGTAAGAAGGCAAGACAAACACAATATATTTATTTTTTATGGCGCAAACGGCAAGCCCGTGCTTTCAGCTCCGCTGAATTATTTTATGGCGGATCTCTGGCAGAAAGCAAAAAATCTGCTCTCTTCCAGCCCCTCAATTATTGCACCTCGCTCTTCCGTGTGCCAAAATGACATCTTAAGAACTGGCAGAAAGATTTGCCTCCGCGCTCTCCCTCGCACACAGGAAGGCTGCTCCACCGTGCTCAAAGGTGTCGGGAGACTTTGCAGCTTAGGTCAAAGGATGTTAATAAAGCACTTGAGTCTCCATATGGTATTTTGGCACTAAAATGTCAGCTGCTTTTCAGACACTGTACTTTAATCATTTCAGACAGGCCCCTTTTAAATGGTTTGTTTAGTTTGCTTAGAGAATAATATTTGTTATTTGGTTTTCAGAATGACTAATAAATGAACTGTCTTTGCTCGGGGAGAATAATGCCACTTAAGCAAAACCTAGTACTGCAGTTCAGAGCTATTTAATAAGAAATACCTGTCAGTGTCAGAATATATTTACTGTGCATTAGCTTTGAAGAACTGCAGAATTAGTTTTCCCCTTGCTAAGTTTACCTTATGTAAAATGTAACACATGAACTGTGAATATGTGGACAGCAAACAGACTGTATCAACGAATTCAGCCTCCCTTGGAAAATGCTGACAGTGGCAAGAGAAACACCTCTTAACAGACACAACTGACACCATCAAAAGCAAAGCGTGTGACAGCTGCCAAGGAGCCGCAGCCTCCCTCCTCCCTCCCCTTGTTTAAAAAACAAAATCAAATCCAAAATAACATGCTGTAGTCTATTTATCCTCTTGTTTAATCTGCTGGGAAAGCAGCAGCATAATTAAACGTTTTTAACCTTTTGGTTTTAACTTGCAATCAGGCAGCAGTGAAATGAAAACGGTGCTATACAGGAGCAGGAGCTTTGCATCACTGCAGAGGCAGCAGCCCCCAGCACAGACCCCCTCTGCCCCAGCCTTAGTGCCACCGAGCACCAGCCCGCTCTGATGGACCCGCACATGGGGAAGCTGCACTGTGGTATCCAGCAGTTCTTCAGCCTGGATCCAGAGCTGCAAAAGGAAAGTATTTGCTCTACCATGCTGCAGCCGCACCATTTCTATTATTCATGCAACTTGGCGTTTTCCTTCATGACCCAGGTACCATCTTGGACGCTCCAGCCATCTGGGGCATCTGGTTGGGATGCTGATGGTAGGTTGTGTGAAGAAGCAAGTTATTTACTGAGAAACTGTCTCTGTGGCATCTTGACCATCTGGAAAGAATATGGAAATGAGACTTTTAGCGAGATGGAGCTTCTCAGTTGATAAATTAACCAGGCATCTCCAGAAGTAGGCGCAGCTGATAAAAGCATGCATTTCTAAGCACATCCCAGCACGCACAAGCATATATAGGTGTGAGCATATGCAATTTCCCATCTCACCCACATATCTGGGGACCTAAGTCACACTCCTGCAAAGCTGCCCAAGTTCTAGGTAAACAAAGCCCCACTTCCAGCTCTAAAATTCATGTGCAGTGAAGCGAGGGGCCAGGCTGGGTTATAATGCTGTGCCACTGAAGCTCTGCTTGCATGACCAAACCTGCCCATGGGGACCAAGCCCAGTCCTGCAGAAAGAGTTGCAAGTGTGCACCCCAGCACAGTACGATTACCTACACCCCCGAAAGCTAATAGCAGTGAGGAAGAGCCTGGTGCAGTGGGGGAATAACATGGGCAGCCTGGCATGCATGCAGGAACCTCTCAGTTCTCATGCCAGCCTCTTACTAATCAAAATATCATGCTAGGCTGGAGTGGATCTGGCTTCTTTGAGCGTGAGTCATATCATTTCCTGATTGCCAGGAGAGTTCCCAGGAACTGGGGGCAGCAGGACAGAAATTACAGCCATCCTCTGAGCACTGTAATTTGTGCCAGAGCTAGAAAGCTCCCTGAACCACCCCAAGACAGGACAATTAAGGATGGCTTCAAGCCAGATGCAGGTTGCTGGGATCAGAGCACAGAGCCAGGAGACTACAGAAGTTTGTGAAACAGCAAAGGCCCTGGAACAACCGTCCTGGCTTTCAAATGCAAATGCCACCTCAAGGAAAGTGTTTTGTTCTGTGAGTGCTGACTTCTAATCGTCTGAGCACAGGAAATACTCTCAGGAATATGAACGTGGAGGAAAGCCACAGGGGCCTGGCTCAGAGCAGGTCAGTGGGGCAGGGAAACACACTCCCACCAGTTGAGTCAATCCAGGGGCGCGTGTTCAGTAAAACACTGCTTTGTGCGTGCAGAGGGACAGTGTTCGTTCACATGGCCCTGCCACGCTGCCCGTGTCATAAAGATAGCCCATTCTCTCTATTTGGGCATCAGGCAGGTGGATGTCGCTGGTCCCTGAAGCCTGAGAAGAAGAGACCCACCACAAGCTTCAGGAGTGCCTCGAGGGGGCTGGAGCTGCCTTGGCAGAGCACTGAGCAGGGAGCAGCATTCCAGGATGACAAACACAGACTTATCTCTACAGGGCAGGCAAATCTTCTGGTGAAGTCCTGCTGTGCACAAGCTCTTCCAGTGGTCAGCAAATGAGCAGTTTCCTCATTTAAGGCTCACTGTGGTCTGAAGGTCGCCTTCGCACAGGTATCGGTGATTCTTGCGTGCCGAGGGACAGCATGAGATCAGCAGCTGAGCATCTGTTCCCTGAGCCTGTGCTGCAGCTACAGCAGTCCAGTGAGATTTTTAACACCTCTCTCTAAAGAATTCTTTTTTTTTTTTGCCTCTACATGTAGGAATACACCAAGCTCAGGTGTGCCCAGATGGCTCCGAGAAACCCATGGGACCTCACAATGGGATTTACTGGCCGTAATACTATGCAAACGTGTATGTATTTTAAAGTCTGTTATTCTGCTTTGTTAATTGACTGACAAAGGCAATAAATTAAAGCAAAACTAAGATATGAGGAACTGTCAGATGACCTTGGATACCTGCAATGCTAATGGGGCTTGAAGCTGGAGTTGCCAGAGGCTCAGCCCTCCAGCTACCGAGCTGAAGGCTCCCTGCGTAGACTCATCTGAAACTCATGGCCCACTGCAGCCCCTAAGAAATACAGGGAACAAAAGCCTCTTCAGCAGGAAACGATCTAAGAGGTTCTATCCCAGATTCTGTGCTGTGCCCTCGTACTGAGTAGTGACTTGGCACTGAGATTGTGCCATTGCTGGAGTTTCTGCATCCAAATAGAGTCATGGTCCTTGTACAGTGACAGGCAAACTCTACACCTACCAGTGCCCTGATTTTCTTTAAGGAGGACATGTTTGAGACGAGACCCTCTCCCTTTTTCGTCCCAGGATAACAGGCAGCAACACTCCCTTTCTGATAAACAAGGGCCCTTTTAAAAGCACTCTCAGGTTTAACTCCCAAGGCATTCGGTAACCCTGTAAAGACAGGAATTAACCTGGGTTTCTAGAGTCTAATGCTTTTAAGCATCATTTCAGAGGCAGAAATGCTCTTCAAAATGTTTTGACTTCCAGTTTTGAGAGAAACATTTTTTCCTTGAAATTAGCCTAATTAAAGGATCAGAAAATTAATTAAAACACAAAATGAGATGCAGTGCTTTGCATCAGGTCAAATGAAACCTTTTAACATGCTTTAAAATGAAATCAGAGTTGGTTTTCATTTTGATTACAGAAACCTCCCTCTCCCTCCCACCGCTTTGGGTAACACCGATCCAAAGAAAATCCACCTCTTCCAAATCTGCCCATCGCAGCTTGCAGAGAGGTTCAGCTCTCCCTGCCCCGAAATGTCAGGGACCCGAGCCTGCACTTTGTGCTCGACCCTCAGCTCCCACCAAAGACACTTTGGCAGGATGATATTTTAAAGAGCTCCCGCTTGGCGGAGGCAGCTCGTTTAAAATTAGCAGCGCCCCTAATTGGGAAGGGGGGAGCTCTGCCTGGCAGAAATGCCACTGCTGGCTCCCAGCACTGCGGGGGCTGCCCGGTGCCACTCTCGATCGCCATCACTGTCAGAGGCAGGCTCCTGGCCACAGCTAAACTATCCACCAGCCTAACAGTGCAAGTCCCGCACATGTCAGGGGTTTTGAAGGCAGCCACGAAGCAGTGGTGTGGGGAAGGCAGGGCCTGGTGCTGGCTCAGAATCCCTCTGATGTACCGGTGGACATCTGAGCCTTAATTGCTGCCAATGTGGACTCATCCTGCTCCCCAGCAGAGCTGCAGACACAGCCCTGTCTCCAGCTCTTGGCACCAGAAAATACATTTTCCTCCGAGACCAAAAATTTCAGTTCACTGTAAACATCAAGAGAGCGCCTGTGATTAAGTAGTTGGGGTTTCACAGCATCCCAAGGATGTAAAGTGCTATTTAAGTGTTAACTGGTTTTACTGTTGTTATTTATTATGTGGAGCTGGTCAGTGCTGGAGTCTGTCCCTGCTCTGCACGGCAGGTGTTCCTGTCACGAAATGCGGGTGTAATGCTGGCAAGCCTCAGGCAAGCACTGCAAAAGCAGGTGGCTGCCATCCTCCTGCTTATTCCATGAGCCCCTGAAGGCAAGAATCATAAGGGGAGACATTTTGTGGCCGTTAGGTGGGTTGTTAAGCCCAGACCCTAAGAGACTTTCAGGTTGGTAAACCCATGGGGAAACTAAGGAGATGCTACCCCACAGCAAAGCCCCAAAACACTGCTGCTTCTAAGCTCCTGCCTCGAAGGGTGCATCCCTACAGAGGGGGTGAGGCATGATACGGCACTTCTGAGGGAAATGCTCCATTATTCTCCCCCTACGCTGTGATCTGGGCAAGTGCAGGCAACTCTGTCCATCCCACAGGGGTGACAGCAGGACCACAGCCCCCAGCTCCTCGTGCCCATGCTGGGGCTCAGGCTCACAGCTGCAGCGGGTTCAGGTTTTATGGCTTCCCACTGGCTGCCCTACTTTGCTGCCAGACATTACCTCCTCGGGCAGGCGGGTGGGCAGCATCCCAGCACAGTGGCTGCCAAAGGGGGCTCTGCATGGAGGGACTGGGGGCCAGCATGTGCATCATCCTCCCTGCAGCTGGCTGGGGTGTGAAGTGACCGTGGTGCTTGTGAAACCTTCTTTGTACACAGAATAACATTTTTCAGTTTCACTTGTGTGTTACCGCAGCGCTTGCAGTCATTAAACCTGGAGGAGCCAAGACTCCCCTCCACCAGGCACCATGCCACCATGGATCCCAGGCAAACATGGATACTCCAGCATCGCAGCAGGGTGGCAGCCCTGTTCCCGACTATAGCCATGTGTCCTCCTCCCCAGATGGGATGCTCTCTGTGCTGTGCTGCGAAAGCTGGAGGACAAGCTAAGCCAAAGCAAATCCCTAGGCAGCTTCCAAGGGGTTAAGGGCTGTGCACAGCCGCTCTCCCACTGCCTTTCCAACCTCATCCTCCTCCTCAAAAAAGGCAAACAAAGAGGTTCTCCTGAGCGAACAATACCCCACATGTACATCGCCTGCCATAATGGCATTAGGGGAAGGGCGGAAAGAGATCCTAGCTCCCCGCTCACATTTAAGCATACAAAAACAAATAAGGGGAAAAAAAAAGGAAAAGTTAAAGTCATCTGAAAGTGCCTCCCTTTCTCCCTGAAGAGTGATAAAGGCTTTTTGGCAGAGCGAGGTGGTGTTTATTTTGGTTTGTGTTGTGTTGCTGCTCTGACCTCCTCAGCTGTTAGCTGGCAAACTTGACAGCCTGATTGTTTTTACTGGACCACGCTGGAGTTTTTCGCTTTGCAAAAGTGATCTGGGAGCAGTTTGCACTGATTGCTTCAGAGGGCTCTGACCAGGGACCATCGCCTTGTCCTGCACCATGCCCCATGTCTCAGGCGGGACCACAGCCGGGGCTCAGCCCGCAGCTGGTTTAAATCATCACTTTCTTCCCATTTCACTGCGCAAGGCAGTGCTTGAAGATTTTCCTTTCCATTCCGCTGAAATGTGACTCTAATTAGATGATAACAAGGCTCGGACATTTTCTAATCGTAATCCTATCTGTGCAAGGGGACGTTATTAAAACGATTAAAATTATTGATAAAGGGGAGGAAGGATGCTCGGTTAGAGAACTCAGTATTTAGCTCATGCTGCAGGTGGGGGAGGACAGCTCCCGGGTCTGCCCCCTGGGATAAAGTCACCGCTGTCCCCGAGGATGTGCACTCTCTAAACACTTGCTTAAGTAACACAACGCCTCCCACCAAGCTGGAGCCTTCCATCATGACCAGGACTTACAGGAAAAGCCGTTTTGGTGACAAAAGGTGGGCCTTGCCATCACAAGATAAAAATGAAAGACAGCTTCATCAGACCTGAAGCTACCAAGGAGGCAGCTGGATGCAATGTTTTTCACACCCATTTGTGCTTATGTAGGAGTCCCAGTGCAAACATTAACATGACGTGGCTTTCCGACCCACTTTCAGGAAGGTTTTTGCTCCATGGGGGACAAGCAATTAGTCCCCCCAGGCAATTAGTGCCCATCTGCTCAGGTGAAATTAAAGGGTGCCATGTCCCTGTTCAGAAGGTGAGCAGTACTTCTTAAAGCCAGGCATCCCCCTGCAGGTAAGAGTCAGAAACAGAGACAGAAAAGTCCCAAGGGCTAAAGTTTCCACAAAGTAATGGTGAACAGGACAAGGTTTTATCTTTACCGTCTTTGAACCCCCCCGAGGCAATGCAACAGTTTTATCTATACAGGGGACAGTCTACCCTGTGTGACATCCTACGTCGCCTGTCCCAAACCAGCTGTCAGGCCCCACATACTCAGCACTGCGCTCACAAGGGACATCCCAGCCATCCCATCTGGAGCCTACCTTGCAGTCCACGAGCACCAGGGCCAGACCTACCATCACTTGCCTCGGTGGTCCCCAACTCTGCATCTCTTTTGCAGGATCGCATCGTTTTGTCTGTGGGATCCTTCCCTTTGTGGGGCTCCGTGCCCAGCTCCACATGAGCCCTGCCTGGTGCGCAGGCAGGCAGCTCTGAGCCAGTTTTCTGCTCCAGAAACCTTGGGAATCTCCCTTGGTGTTTCCCAGAATAGCCCCAAGGCTCCTCTAATTTCCTACAGCTGCTGCACACCAGCAGTGAGCTGTGGCCCCACCCGGAGCATCCCACTCGGATGTGGCAGGGACAGCCTGGCACAGACCCAGGAGCTGGGGATTCCTTGTCCCTGGGAAAGCCCCTGCATCTGCAGAGAACAAGGTTCGTTGTTTAACACCAAAACAAAGCAATACCAACCTAAAGGGCACAGAGAAACTTAGGCAGTGAAGCTTGTTAGCCAAGACACTGGGGGACAGCTTGCAAGCTCCAACACCAGCCCTCCTTGCTCCCCAGGGGAAGGGAAGCCGCACAGCACTACCCAACCGGATACACATGTATCCCAACAGCCATGTGTTTCTGAGGATAAAACAGATCAGGAATTTTCTCAGCAGAGAGTGACCCCTGATCATTGCTGCCAAGGCCTTCAGCCCTGCTCAGTGTCTCTACCTCCACCCAAGGGGTCCAAGCCTCTCCAGCAAGCACACTGCCAGAGACAGACTGTTGGTGGGTTAGTACAGTCAGTATGTGCCAAAGTGCGGGGCATTTAAGATGCTTCTCCCCAGCATTAGTTTGTAGATGGGGTCAAACCGCCAACACAGAGGGCTGACAAGCTGCAATGCTTCTCAAAGAGAAAAGTCCTCCAGAGCTAGCAAGCCATTTGCAAAGAGCAATTTATTCATCCAATTTACACCTTATTTCTTTTCACAAGCAGATCATAGTCTCCATGAAATTGCTCATTGCTAGAAATTATGCATCGAATATTTCAGGATACATATCTCCAGCAAACTGCCGGTTGCCAGTGCTATTTCCCTATTTGTAGTCAGAAATCTCAGCTGTTTTGAAAGGACACAGAACTTCCATAGCATGGCTCGTTCCCCGTCACGCAGGCATGACGCTCTCCTAGCCTGGCACCAACAGGCAGCGCTTCTCAGCTTATAAATAAAAAGCTCACAACAGAATCAACCTTACCGTGCAAATATTCATGATTATGAATTTGAAAATCACTTCCTATGAATAAGCCTGCACAGTTTGCATTAAAATATGCTGCTTCAGCATCATTCCTGACAGTTTACATGTTTGCTAGAACAGCCACAGAGAGTAAACCTGAAAAGGTCAGGAAGGGAAAGCGAACAAATTTATTGAGAAATTGAAACATATGTTTGGTACTGGCTTAGAAAAAATCTGTCACAAATACATAGATGGTGTCTCCGTCAGAGAGGCTGCACAACACAAAGCTCGCTGCATGGGCAACAGAGGTCTCAGCTAATTGAAAAAAGGATTAGTTTTTACACCAACCAACTTTGATATTTTGACGGTTTTAATTTCTTTTTAAAATGCTGAGGATTTCTTTGAAAAAGATTTAGAATTCATATTGGAAACCCACAAAGGGGGTTTTAAGACTCTACCTTCCTATTTTAATAAAATGTAGTTTAGATTACTTTTTTTTCTTGGAAATATCTTCATTAAATACAAGAGGAACTAAAGGGCATAGTAATATAATTCACAGACGATACTAAATTAGGATATATTGTACACGGCAGTGAGGACTGAGAAATAATACAAAGGGCCCCAGAGAGATTGGAAACCTGGGTAGAAAATAAATGAGATTCAATTTGGAAAAATGCTGTCGATGCCTCTGGGGAAAATAATTTGAAACACGCAGAAACCTGGGAAGCAGGAATGGCTAACAGGGAGTTTAGAACAACAACAGACAAAAAATTGGTCTGCAAAGCA